CAACCCCCCCCCCCCCGCAAAACATGCACTGCATCTGCATTGCCCCCCTCCACGCATCTGCGCCCCTTTTCATTCAAACACGATGCTCACGTATCTTGTCCCCCATCTTCCTCAACCGTACAACGACAACCTACGCCCAACAGGCGATGATCCTCTCTGCGGCAATGATGCTCCGATATGACCTGGGGCGGCCCGCGGAGGCGGACATGGTGGAGGCGGCCGTGGACGTGGTCATGGACAAGGGCTACGCCACCGACGACATCCAGCGGGAGGGAACCACGGCCGTCGGCTGCAAGGAGATGGGCGAAAAGGTGAAGGAAGAGCTCGCCAAGCTCGTGGCTGCGGGGGCCGGGGCCGAAGCGGCTGCCGTGGGCGAAGCGGCGGCGGCGCGATGAGCGGGTAGAAAATCGAGTTGAGTGTAGTCTGTCTGTCGTTTCTGGTGTTGCCTGAACGGGTGCGCAAGGCACGGAAACGGTAGACGCAATGGAGGGTGCCCGCCTGCCGTGAGAGCGGAGCGGTGCAAGAATAATGCCGTTGTGTTCGTGTGAGAGTTGCGAAATAGGACCGCCATGTCAGCACGGACGACAATGGCGGGTGGTACGGTATGACGCACGAGAAGCCACCAGGCGCCGGCGATCAGGAAACGCCCTGCCAAGCGCGTGACGGCTTGAACTCCGTGCGTCAAGTAGTTCTCGAACATTCGGTGCTTCAACGTGGGTAAACGCTGGCAATAAGACGTGGGGCAGTTTTTTCTGTGAATAGGAAGGTCCGAATGGGATAATAGCGGTCGGAGTGGCATCGCACATCGGACTGTTTTGGTGCCGGCTCCAGGCAAGGGAAACAGGCGTCGTGCTGGCGCTTTCCTCTTGAAAAAGACCTGGAACGAACGACGTTCTAATGGCATCGCTTGATGTTGTATGGGTTTTCACTCACCCATTCAGCACACCGCCGCCGTCGCTGCTGCTACCGCTGCTTGTTTGGTTTGTGATGGTGTTGTCGTTGTCGCACACACGATCGTCCCTTTTATTGCGATAAAGCCACAACTGTGGAGCGACGAGTTGATCCAGCCCCCACACGAGACTGTACATGTTCGGATGTTCACCGACACCACACGAATCCCGCCAACATTGGCGGAACGAATTATTACCCAACGCTCCACGCATGAATTCATTCGAAGCCAAAAGGGATGTGAAGAAAAAAACCAAAACGGAACAAGTCGTTTGGTGGCACCCGAACAGCTCACGTTTTCGCAAAGCGCTCACAACCCCAAAACTCCGAAACACTCCCGCGTGGAGTAAAAACGGAGGCCTCCCCCCCCAACTCGCCCAACTCGTGAGGCACCTAGATGTGGGAGTTGCATGGCGCATCCATCAATATCTACCGGGACGCTCTTCCCTGCTCCCCGTCCAATTCCTCCACATAATAATCTCCGATGCATGGACTGGACTGCCTCCAGCCCTTTCCTTGGAAACAGCTGCTGTGGTTGGTGTGACCATGGAAGCGGCGGTGGCTCGAAGCACTTCCTTGATATCGCACCCTTCCCTCCCACGGCACTCGTATCAGGGCGGGTACGCAATTTCCACTCACGAAGCCCCTCCGCTCGCTGGCCTTTGCGTCTACCGCGTGTAGTCTCTTGTAACTGTCTGTCCGAGCGTTGCCGCGCACTGGCATCACGCCCACAGAGAGAGAGAAAAGGTGCAGGCAGTTTTCTGATTGGCCAATCTCCGTGTTTGGGGCTCGAGCTTCTCGCAGAACCCCGTGTTTCTGGGTCAACCCTATGCAACGTTCGCCCGCCGTTTGCACAGCTTCTTTGCCGCGGCATAAAGTCTCTATCATACTCTAGGGCTCGGTCAACACCCCACCCGCCTCACCGCCACCAACAACTAACTACAAGCAAGCCAAAACGAACAAAACCACCACAATCGCCACATCTAGAGCGGCAGGGGGGTGATCTCGCTGATTAACCTAGATAATCAATGTCCACAGGTCGGACTCAGAGTGAATTCTGGTTCCACGTGCCTACAAATCGTCAACAGAAATCCATTCCAAACATCTGCGCCAGCAGTCCCGGCGAGTCGCTTAGCTGCCCTGCGCGTGGTGCAATCTCCCAACCGTGTCTCGTTCTATTGGCTACTTCTGCACCACATCACCCCGGAAAATATTGGAACCTCCGTGCAACGAGTCAGAACACCGATCTTGCGGCCCATCAACCTGAAGTTCACCGCTGAGGCACGGCGCGCTTGAAGGCATAACATACGCACTTCATTCGCAGGGCTAGGTGTATACTCCGACGCCCTTCATTCACATACGTTCTTGCTTCTCAACGATGGCCCCTTGGGACACGTTGCGTGTGAATGCATGTATTTGCATCAACCGCACAAATAACTGGCTGACCAATGAACACGTCAGTCTCAGTGCGGTTGAAATGCTTCACAAAGGCCATAATCTGGGTCCCCGCGGGGGGGTGTCATGAGGGAGGCTAATACTATTGGCGTGTTGTAGGTGGTAGACGTCACCGGCGGCACAGACAACAAAATAGTATACTAGACTAGTGATGATCCGCATCGGCATGGGTAGGGGGTCAGCCAGGTAACCTCTCGACTCCGTCTGACCCCAATGGCAGGAACAACCCCACGTGGGTCCTGTGAAACAGCGCGATGATGGCAAAACACACACAAGGTCAGTCAATCAGGCCGCACGCATAGAAACAGAAAATACATAGGTGCAGTTGGAGAGGGAAAAGAAGGCGTCGCGTTGTTCGTCGTGGTGGGCAGCCTGGACTACGTCGACGCACGTGTGTTGTACTGTTTCGAAGCAGGGCAGCTCTGGTAGATGGTTTCAGCGAGGTGGCCGCACGGCCAGGTTCAGTCGTCCGCCATGGGCGTGCAGCACGGAAGGTCGCTAGCGCTTCACAACTACTTCGAAATATAATGGGAAAAGAGTGAAAAGAACAAGTGGAAAAAAGTGAAAAACAGCGAGAAATAAAGTGAAAGGAGCAGAAAGTGAGAACAGTGAAAAAAAAATGTACAACTGGGAAAAATGTGGATGGGACTTTCTGAGCACACATTTCTGCATGACCTCGTCCTGTTGCTAATGGCGTACACAAACGTCCACGCAGGGGCGATGGCTAATGATTATGCTGCCAAAGGTAAGGTTGAGGAACGCTTCGTTCTACTGGTCTATGTGTGTGAGGAGAACGCCATATATTCTTCAAGGAACGACTTCTTCAGATCGTTTCGGTGGCTACACAGGTGGCCATATCTCGGCGAGTGCAGAGGTACAAGCTCGCATTGCGCGGGCGTCAAGACGCCGAAAACAGGCGAACAAGATCGACCTCGGACCAGTTAACGCCAATGATATGGGGATGGAATGTAGACGCATCGTAGAACGCGTTTTCGTTTGAAGCTGGCGTCTTGTTTGAGAGTAGATGTTACAGATTTGCGTAGAATAGGGTAAGATGTTATCATGAACGGAGATGAAATGGCTTTTCCAACACGGAGATGTAGCATGGATCAAAGCATTTGTTGGATTTCAGCTTTTACAAGCGGACATCAACGCAGTAGTATTTTGCAAGCTTACGAACGCATATAGGATACCATCAGGATTGTCATTGGTTTTATTTCAAGCTGAAGAAGAGATATTTATACGATGTAAATGACAGTAGAATAAGTCCTACATATGTTGTACTTCGTATTGGTTTAATATTCATGTAGAGTATGAGACATTAAGTGAAAGTTTTCTGAGGTACATCTGCAATTGTCGGAAGGCAAAAAAAATAAAAATATAAAAAATAGTGTGAAAAAATGCAGCTCTACTAGGTGGTTTCGGCGAGGCGGTCGCACGGCCGGGTCGAATCTCTCCGGCTAAAGGGCAGCATGGCAAGTCTCTCACGCTTCACAACATATCAATGAACAAAAAAGTGGAAACGAGAAAAAAAGAGAGAAAAACAGCGAAAACTTGAAGTGTAAAGAGAACAAGAGTGACAAAATTGGAAAATAAGAGTGCAATGGGTGAATAACAGTAAAATTGGGAAAACGTGGCTGCCACGTAAGCATTTCTGCATGGTCCCTTCATTTTGAAAAATGGCATACGCCAAAAATAAAATGCAGATGACAGGCGACCAAATACGACGTATAATAGTGGCGAAGGTTAGCTTAAGGAACGCATTCGCTGTCTGTGTGTTGTGTGTGAAGAACGCCCTTTGCTGTGAAACTGTGGCAGCTCTAGTAGGTAGTGTTGGCGCGGCGGCTGGTACGGCTGAATGAAGAATGAAAGGCCGCTGAAGCTTGATACGAACAACGGAACAAACATGAAAAAGAGTGAAAAGGAGCGAAAAAAAGTGAAACAGTGAAGTTGAAGTGAAAAAATGGGAGGTGGTAACACAAGCAATAATAAATCTGTCACATAAATCAAGAATAAAGACGAACGTTAGCTTGAGGAACGCTTGGTTATGCTGCGTGTCCGTGTGGAGAACACTAGGAGCATAGTCGCCCGCCCTCTCAATGTACGGAGGTCCCACCTGCAAGCGCTCGAACAACATAAGAAAAAAAAAACGCACCTACCCGACGCCACACCTACACATAACAACGACTAGGGCATGGAATCAGGAAGAGTCCAAAACAAGCCACAGCAGTGGTCTCAGCACCAACGAGACGAAAGAAGAAAACACCATCTGGAATCACACGGCAACGCGGTTGACGCCAAAGGCCACTCTGTCAGAAAGGTCAGCAGCAAACGGGAAACCGCCATGGCGCGGGCAGCGGGTGCCGACTCATTTCCGGCCTCCGGCGCTCACCCGTAGCCTTGGAGGGACAGCATCCGAAGGTCGCCGCCGAAGTGTCGCGCGTACAATCTGCTCACGGGCAGCCCGATGCCCATGCCGGACAAGGGGTCGATCGCCGGCTGGAAGGACGCGTTCGCGGCGTGCTTCGCTTGCACCTCATCGTACGTCTCTGGGGGGGGGAAGGGGTCGGCGGGCGGGGAGGGCGTGGGGTGGCGGTGGGACTCCCATAGTGCTCGTTTCTAAAAGTGTTTCGGAGGAGAACGGTTTCTAGTCCTATCGGAACGCCGCGACTTGCAATTCCCAATGGTTCTTACTCATGTCATTGCTTGAGAGATAACACGGACGTTTTCGTCTCGCATGCGCCGTGTGTAGGCCGTAAAGGCTGGAATTGACCAGCACGCGACCATATCGTTTATTACGGTTCATACGTGTCTATGCAACGATCAAAACACAGCACCACCAGCACCCACAGATCACCGCAAACACCAACGTATTCCACAAACAAGCAACCGCCGTTCACGCACATCTCCCACCAAGAGGGAAAAAAGACGACACCAACAACAAAAAACAACAAAAACACGTAGCGAACGGCCAACAGGGCGACAGAGCACGCCGCAACGCATGAAATTTAACGCCGCACCGGAAGAGGTCCAAAGGTACTTGAAGGCGTCGCGAGCGGTGTCCATGGCCATCCCTCCGCCCTGGTCCGACACGCAGACGCTCACTTGTCTCTTGCCCTGTTTATCGCCTCACGAGCCCGTAGAATTAACAGTTTTCGCTCAAAATATTATGGCGTGAATGATCAAGAACAAGAGACCGCGCGAATGAGTGGTGGCAGCGAGACCATGCACCATTATTGGACCGACATAATTAACAATGTAGCGGTGTTTTGTGTTTGATCTGCTTTGCGTGTGTGTCTGTCTCTCTGTCTCTCTGTCTTTCTCTCTCTCTGTCTCTGTCTCTCTGTCTCTCTGCCTCTCTCTCTGTCTCTGCCTCTGCCTCTGTCTCTGTCTCTGTTTCTGTCTCTGTCTCTGTCTGTCTCTCTCTGTCTCTCTCTCTTTCTCGCTGTCGCGTTGCTTTCGACTTTAACGAAAGTTTTTCGTGAGGAAACGACGCCAGCACCCATCGCATCACCACATCACACTGCTACCGGAGGCAAGAAAAGGGCGTCTTTCAGGAAACACGACCAGCAAGGACAAACAATCATGGCCACGGCCACCAGCCCCGAACGATTTGAAACCATTGACGCCTTAGAACTATTGGTGGCCAAAAAAAATATGAGGAATACAACAAAAAAAAGGACAAAAACGGAAACACAACACAAAAAACAACAAGCAGTCCATCCCGTTCCCGACACATCACATACAAATGCAAAGATTGCCAAAGACAGTGACAGATATTTGCCGACAGCTGACATCACACCACGACCTGTGCTATCCGGACGCGCACGGGGGGAAGAGTGTCGGCGACGCTGGCGTGCGCCGTGGTGGTGGCCTTGAGGGCGTTCTTGAGCACCTCGAACAGGATGTGGTGCACGTGGCTCGGGATGCAGCTGGCTCGAGCGTCAACGTCCCCCTCTTCCCTCGAAAGGAACCGCAAGCACCCAGCCGGCACGAAGGAAAATGAACGAACGACGAATGAGCAGAGGTACGCCGTGAGCACGTGGTGGACATGATGACGTCGCGTCCGGGGTGTTGCAATTGAGGCCGGAAGGGTAGGGGCAAAGGGTGTTATTGCAATTGTTGTTGTCTTCACAGAAAAAACCGTTCCAGTCTCCGCTCAGCACCCTCTAATGTCCGCACTGGTCCAACTCACGCGGACGCCTTCCGCGGCCACAAGCCAACGACGCCAAAACTAGTGCAGACGAAAAACTGTTGTATCCAACAGCGTCACCCTGCCACGATAACTGCCCCACCGCTCTCCATGAGGAAAGGGAACCGGCAATGTTCTCGTTTCCTGCCCGGCTGTCGGCAGTAGCGGCAACACCCTCTGACACGGCGGCCCCAAGGCCAGTTACATTGCGCTCCCCCCTCCCCATACGCAGCTACCATCCGTACGCAAGGAAGTAAGCACAAGATGCCGAACACCCTTAGCAGGATGCAGCGCACCCTTCATGCGACTCGCCGAATACCTCACGGCGCTTCGCGCTTGGGGATGTGAGAGCCTGGTCCGGTGAGAACCCGGCGTGCTCCGTCCCGGCTTTGTAGGGATGCGAGGTCAATGGTCTAACGACTACGGCATGCACGACTATGAGTACACCCCCCCCTCCCCCCCGGTGGCGCATACCGATCGCGGTGTGCGGCTCACCAATGCATACGTCTGGCGAGTGCACGAGATGGTGTTCCGTGATGAGCTGAGTTTCGCCTAACCCAAAAGCGTTGACCAATTGGTCGACGAGAAATTGGCGCGATTTGTTTCGGGTTGTGCACCCAAAGAAGGAGCAGGGGGCGGTGCGCGGGGGGCGGGGAGGGGCAGCGCCGGGGGTCCGTTGAGCCAAGGGGGAGGGTTCAAGAGTGCAGGTTAAGGGCTGAGCGACAGGGGACTGCTAATCTGTCGACGTGCACACTTGTGATTCCCTCGTGATTGACACACATGCTGTAAGTGAAGGCAATCGCTCATCTAGGAGCATGTAAAAAAAAAACCACGCCGCGAGTTTGTCGCAAACAGTCGCAACGATGAGAAACAAAAAGGAACACGCGCTAGCAACCAAGGACGCCAAGTCAGCCCCATCCTTGCCCCTGGCAACGGCGGCACACAGGTGCGCTACGTGATACACGCGCCGACACAACGTTAGCGATGATGTCACCGCTCAGCAGGCGAAATTTCCCCCTTTCCCCTGAACGTATCCCGCGTGGCCCCTGATGCGAGGATTTCTACTACACGTGGCAGCGCGCACCTCGGCTCGCACATTTCTCTGCACGCGGCAAGAAAAATGACTAGGGAGGGAAAGCACTGCCGGAGAAGTATGTCCGAGACCTTCTACCTAAATACCACCATCCTGGACTCTTTTCTGCGGAAGAGATGGGTTTGTTGCGGTACTATAAACGAAATGCTGCTTTTGTGTCATACCGATAGCATCGGCGATGACGTCGCTCAGCAGACACTCTTCCGCCACGAGCCCAGTCCTCTTGTTGGAGTTTTCGAGATCCAATGGCTTGAGAGACTGGAGGAAGTGTCTGCACAGGAGCTGGAAGCTGATATGCATCTTTCGGTGCAGAGGGGGGCACGCGCGGGCGCCGGTTGGGCCGAAGGACAAAATGAGAGCAGAAATGGGGCAACGACAGTGGCATCGCACGGAAGGGTCACAGATAAGATGCCAGATAGCTTTGTGCTACCGTGAAACAAAAATACGTGGGCACGCAAAGCTGCGGGTTGGGGCACAGTGCATCAAGTACTGTGAAAAAGAACGTGTGCGGAGTTGCCGTGAATTATTGCGTGCAGTCTTGTTCGAAGAAAATGTAACTGCTGATAAAGCACGCCGTTCTTCCAGCTGGCTTCATCACCTGAGTTTTTCTTTCCCCCTCCCGAATTCTCCCCCCCCCCTAGGTGTTTGCCATCGGGGTTGGGTTTTCGTCGCTTGGCAA